GTGTAGCAGTGGGTTCTAACTTAGTTTCCTCATCTATAAAATGGGAATAATAATTCCTGGCTACTTAATAAGTTTAATAATCATGAGATGATACATTTAAAAGCACTTCACAAATTATAACATATTATAAACACATAAGGAATTATTAGTAAACATAGTGCATGTAAAATAATTTTCAATTGTGTCAAAAACCTTATACAAATACTATTATTGTGCCCTTTACTAGTTGTATTGTCAAAGCTTGAGAATCCAGAGAACGTTTCCTACTGCTCTACCTGCTAAAGCCAAGGTAAAAACTCTGTAAAAGGTGTGGTCCTTGGGGACTTGTCCCATGTTGGTTACATCATCGGGGAGCGCCACATGGCATGGTGGGAAGAATGCCTGACTTGGATCAGGAGACCTCAAGTTGCACCTGAATTTGGTTTGCCAACCCCTTATGTAACCTTTAGGAAGTTGCTGAGCCTCGATTTCTTTGTCTCTAATGAGGGGTTGAACTAGATAACCTCTACATTCTTATCCAGTTATAAAATTCTATTATTTTATAATTGCCTAAAGTATCAATTGCCTTTCAGGGTTCACTAGAGTGATTCAGTCTCTGTGCCACATATTATATGAGGGGCTGCGAGTGAAATTGTCCTGAGCTACCAAAACACAGGATTAGGGAGAGGTATTTTTGTTTTACTGCCCAGAGTTGACCCTGCACAGCCGGGTGCCCACCAACTATAGTAGTAAACAACCTAGGAGCTCTCATAAAATTAATAACCACCAACGGTCCCACCTGCAGGGCTAGTGAGGTGTGATTCGTTGTTGTCATGGTGTTCCTACGGGCAGCTAAAGGATAAACGTATACCAGGGGACCTGACTTCATTGCTTTAAAATTATCACCTACCTTGGAGGGAGAGTTATAAGCCCTAAATCCCCAGGGAATTGAGGAATTAAATCAACCATTTTTGAAAATTAGATTTTTTTTTTAAGCTGTTCATAAGCCAAAGCCATTTAACATAAAAAAAAAGTTTGGTTTTGTTGTTGTTGTTGTTGTTTTCCCCGAGACAGGGTCTTGCTCACAGTGGCACGATCCTAGCTCACAGTAACCTCTAACTCCTGGGCTCAAGACATCCTCCTGCCTCAGCCTCCTGAGTAGCTGGGATTACAGGTGCGTGCTACTACATTCAGTTAACTTTTTTTGTATTTTTAGTAGAGACGGAGTTTCACCATATTGGCCAGGCTGGTCTCGAACTCCTGACCTCAAGTGATCCGCCCACCTCGGCCCTACATTTGTAAAACATGTAACTTTGAGCCAGACTTCATTTGGGAGGGTTTAGCACAATAAGTTATTCACAAACCAACCTCCCAATCATTTGAATAAGTGAAGTCGATCATTTCACTTTGTGAAGTAGAATTGTTGGCCTTCACTATCTGAATGCTAAATAGATAGTTTTTGATTTTGAGGTAACTGATAGCACACTGTTCTTCTAGGAAGGAACCAAGAGTATAAGCAGCTTCTAGAAGCCAGTTCTGTGACACAGTAAGTTCCTGCCATCAGCACGTAAAATGGTGCTTTGTCTTTTTATCTTATGTTCAAAAACAGACTGATATACCTCTGATTAGACCTGGGCTAAGTTGATAACATGGAAATGGTAAAGAAGAAACATTTTCATCTTATTAATGATAAGGAAATTGACAAAATGATAGATGAGTTGGAGAATTTGGAAGGTGTTGTCAAAAGGTCAAGTTAGCATAGAAATTTTCTGGAAGTGTGGAACAGTGGAGAATCGAGCGTTTCTAGTACAATGAGCCTGGTTTTCTAAGTGTGAAGTTTCAGGCATCAGAGACACATTCAAATGCAGATATTCCAGAAGAGAGTTGAGATATGATAAAATAGGTCCCAAGCATTTCCCTATCTCTGTCTCCTCAGGGTCATTCTGCTGCCATCAACCATCTCACATGCTTAGAAAAAAGATAAATACTTCAAAGACCCAACGTCTTTGCTTTTCCCAGCTACCCCTTCTTAGGCAGACCTTCTTCTCACTATGCCCACCGCAATCCAATTCAAATAGTTTGTTAAAATGCACCTCTATGCTATAAAGGAAGTTAGACGGTATCACTGTAAAAGTTGAACGAGGCTGGGCACAGTGGCTCACGCCTGTAATTCCAGCACTCTGGGAGGCCAAGGCAGGTGAATCATCTGAGGCCAGGAGTTCAAGACCAGCTTGGCCAACATGGTGAAACCCTGTCTCCACTAAAAATAAAAAAAAATTAGCAGGGCATGGTAGCACAGTCCTTTAGTCCCAACTACTTGGGGGACTGAGGCAGGAGAATCGCTTGAATCCAGGAGGTGGAGGTTGCAATGACCTGAGATTGCTCCACTGCACTCCAGCCTGGGCGATAGTGTTGGGAACAAGCCCCCCAAAATCTGGCCATAAACTGGCCCCAAAACTGGCCATAAACAAAATCTCTGCAGCACTGTGACATGTTCATGATGGCCATAACGCCCACTCTGGAAGGTTGTGGGTTTATGGGAATGAGGGCAAGGAATACCTGGCCCATCCATGATGGAAAACCACTTAAAGGCATTCTTAAGCCACAAACAATAGCATGAGCAATCTGTGTCTTAAGGACATGCTCCTGCTGCTGTTAACTAGCTCAACCTATTCCTTTAATTCAGCCCATCCCTTTGTTTCCCACAAGGGATACTTTTAGTTAATCTAATATCTATAGAAACAATGCTAACGACTGGCTTGCTGTTAATAAATACGTGGGTAAATCTCTATTTGGGGCTCTCAGCTCTGAAGGCTGTAAGACCCCTGATTTCCCACTTCACATCTCTATATTTCTGTGTGTGTGTCTTTAATTCCTCTAGCGCTGCTGGGTTAGGGTCTCCCCAACCAAGCTGGTCTCAGCACGACAGAGTGAGACTCCATCTCTAAATAAATAAATACATACATACATACAGAAAATAAAATAAAATAAAAAATAAAGGTTGAACAATATACCGGATGCTGTGGTATAGTGTTGAGAGCTCAGATTCCGAAGGTGAATGTTGCTTGAATCCTGGCTCTACAGTCTACCAAAGGTATGGCCATGGACAAGTTAGTCTGGCTGAACCTCGGTTTTCTTCTCTGTAAAATGTGTGTAACGAAAATTCTCCACAGTGATTAAATGAGATGGTTCATGAAAAGTGCACAGCCTAGGTCCTGGCACATGGTAAACATCCAGTAAATGGGAGCAAGTATATCCCACGAGTTCTACTTGTCCCACACTTAGGCCAGGAGATGCATTCCTGGAAGTGGGAACTGTAAGTAAAACAGGACTGTTAGGGATTGTGGGCAGTATTGCATATTCCCTGTGAAGATGAGTTTTGGAATTATACATCGGCAACCACTGTTTTGTTCTCTTCAAACCCTTAGAAGTCACTGCGTGCTCAGGCCATGGGCACCTCCAGCCACTATTCATGTGCTTGATCATTCCTCCCAGGCTACTTTACGATAGCCTTGAAGATTTTACAGGATTTCCAATGATCATTAATTACCTGCTTATCATTAAACTCTCTCCTCTCCACCATATTTTTCCTCCTTGATATAAAACTTGATTTTTGTTTTTTGAAATAGAGTTTTGCTCCTGTTGCCCAGGCTGGAGTGCAATGGTGTGATCTCGGCTCACTGCAACCTCCACCTTCCAGGTCTAAGCAATTCTCCTGCCTCAGCCTCCTGAGTAGCTGGGATTACAGGCACCCTCCACCATACCCAGCTAATTTTTGTATTTTTACTAGAGATGGGGTTTCACCACATTGGCCAGGCTGGTCTCGAGCTCCTGAGCTCAGGTGATCCACCCGCCTTGGCTTCCCAAAGTGCTGGGATTACAGGTATGAGCCACGGTGCTGGCCTAAAACTTGATTTTTGACATCCAGCTTGAAATGCTTCCATGACACTTTGGAAACAGGTGCAGCACTGACCCCATTTGTGGGCAAATGTGTTCACCAGAACATGAAATATTGGTGGAAGGCGAGATCACAGCCATGTCATGAGCAGATAGGTGAGCACATTTCAAAACAAGGAAATCTCCTTGATGGGCAGAGTGCCATGGAGCCCCTGTCATGTTGTAAGTTACACAGATGTTTGGGGATGAACAGGGGTAGGGTGAGTCAGTGTGGTATGAGGGGGGATTGAAAGAGGAGCCTGACCTCAGCTATGTCCTAAACCAAAGGGTTTCCCCAGAACATGATCCACATTAGAAAAAGACCCCAAATTCAAAAAGGACTGGGAGACCCTGGATAAATCATAGGGCTCTCAAGATACTAAAGACTCGGAGGAGATCTGAAAGTAAAGAAACCCTTCTGGCTCTGTTAAACCCATACTCTCCTGAGTATAGGGGCCACAGAACACATTTTGGAGCAATAAGTAGAAAACCCGCACCAAATACCTGCTTCCAGGCACTGCCTGTTCCACTGCAATTTGGTCAGATTATTGTCCTTCTCCTGGACCTTGATCTTGATGGTTACAGTCCTTGCAATTAACACACATTACTTCTACCTCTACCTCCAAATGAACTACCATTTTTCGTTTTCTTGTTAGACCAAAATCCTTTCTCTTTGAGTCTCAGGTATATTCCAGTTGTCATCAGTTCCATTAATCTGCACAGCTATGACTATATAGATATTATTTCTTATGCCAATAGCTTATCGATTTTATTTCTTAGAGCAGTGCTGTCCAATAGAATTTCCCGTGATGATGAAAATGGAAATCTCTCCCCTCTCTCTCTCCACCGTGTCCAATACTCTAGCACTAGCCACGGGGAACTATTGAGCACTTTATGTGGCTAGTGCAACTGAATCTTAGTAGAATGGAATTTTTTATTTTAATCAATTTAAATTTAGATAGCCACATGTGGGTAATCACTGTCATATCGGAAATTGTTGGGAAAACTCCCTGCCAGAACAGAAAACTGCCCTCTTTATGCAGAGAGCAAGCTCAGACTAAAGAAAGAGGTGGACCACTCCAGTCTGGGAGGTCATCAAAGATTTATTCAGGGGGAACTTACATGTGAGGCAGTCCAGGGTGGCAGCAAGACAAGGCAGATCTTGCAATGCATGCTGTCTATTCTCTTACACCATGCAAATAAAAGGGAAAGGGGGAAAAAGTCACTGTGGTGTGTCAAACCTCCTGGCTGTTTTCCTAATCTATTTACTTTCTACTTAAAGGGACTGGTTGAGTTCCCTATAATCTGGTCAGCATTCCTAAATAGGGCTGTTTCAGGGGGAAGCAGTTATCTTGTTCCACCGGTTGCTCTATCCTACAACTCACATTGTGGCCACATACCCAGAATACATTTTCACAACAGCAATCTTACTAGATCCTGTATATATATGTATCTGCATCCAGGAGAGAAATAAGATAATAGTTAGAAGTCACGTGAATCAGATAAAGCCACAATAACCCCTACAAGGCACAAAACATTGCTGATCACCAATCATCTCTTCAAAACATACAATGTTGAATATTCTCTTGATGTACCATTTGTATAATTTTAAATAACAAAAACATAGATAATTTTTTGTATAATATAGCGAATAACATAGAGAAAAAGCACTATTGGAGTATAATAAATGAAACCACTTATTGGCAAAGCTAATATTATTAGACTAAAGAGAATTTTTGGAAAGATACACTTTAAATAATGATGGAAAGGTTGGAAATAACCGCCAGGAATATTCAATGTGGATCCACTCTGATGTAAAATTGACTTTCAAATGTTCCAGTGGAAAAAGCCAAATCTGAAATATAAGAAATCCATATGACTAAAGTATCTTTGGGTGTCTATGGCCACCTCCAGAGTGGAGGGGGTGGCCTCCCTATGGTTAGAGTGCAATGCAGACGCCTCAGTGTTCACGAAAGGGTGCTCTGCTGCTTACATATCTGGTAAAGGGAGCATGCGGCTCTCCCTTCAGTTACAATATTGGTTATCTGACCCTCAGCTACATGTTAGAGACTCAACTTATGAACTGTCTGAACATAGCTCATTTCAAAACTCCAGCTGAGACAAATGTCATTTTCCAAGGATCCTGTTCCTTAAGGTTCCCTGAGTTTCAGCCCTGTGTCAAGATGAGTCTCTAGAAAACTTGGACCCAACTTGTATTCCCTTGGCACCCTCATCGCAGAAGAAAAACTTCACAGCATGGCTCAGCTTCACAAGAAACAGTCACGAGTAGAACTTTTGGGCCTTTCTTGTGAGACTGGGGGGACATTGTCCGGCATGCTACTCACTAAATCCACCCTCTTGAGAAGTTGCTCACAGACATGAGAGCCAGAAAACGATTGTTTCATGATGGACTGGAGTGTTTCATTTTCTAAGACAATGAAAAATACATAACCAGTGTGTTTCCCTCTTTGTCTTCATCCCCAAGAAACTCAGAGCCACTTACGTGCTTATTTGCAGATTTTCTCAGTCCAAGATTTCTTTTTTCTTCTTCTTTTTTCTTGTTTTAACAAGGCCCCCCCTTTTTTTTTTTCACTCCAACATCTGGAGAAAACACATTTAAGGAAATGTTACCAATAGTTACAGGAATTGATAACTTTGAAATAGACGTACTTCCTTATAGAGCAAAAAAATAATCAGAGTAGATAGAATCTTTTAAATCAGTTTTACACAGAGAATACCAAAAAATTTAATCATAAAAATGATCTCATTTAAGAAGATTCAGTTTATGTCCTTTCCTAGGGTCAACCAAATGACTAATGTCAAATTCCCAAAGCACATAGATACAATAACATTTCCTCACAAAAGAATGACCTAGGATTTCAATGTTCAAATTTTCAAATTTTCCACTTTTTGAAAAAACTGTGTTTTATTTTAGATTCAGGAGCCCATGTGCATGTTTGTTACATGGGTATATTGTGTCATGGTGGGATTGGGCCTCTTGTATACTCATCACCCAAGCAGTGAACATTGTACCCAATAGGTAATTTTTCAACCCTCACCCCCCACAACCCTCCCCTCTTTTGGAGTCCCCAGTGTCTCGTGTCTATTATTTCTATCTCTTTGTCCCTGTGTACCCAGTGGTTCACTCTCATTTTTAAGTGAGAACATGAGGTATTCGATTTTCTATTTCTAAGTTAGTTCACTTAAGATAATGGCCTCCAGCTCCATCCATGTTGCTGCAAAGGACATGATGTCATTCCTTTTTATGGCTGCACAGTATCCCATGGTTTATATATACCACATTTTCTTTATCCAGTCAACCATTGATGGATACATAGGTTGGTTCCATGGCTTTGCTATTGTGAATGGTGCTGTGATGAATATACATGTGCAGATGTTGTTTTTATATAATGATTTCTTTTCCTTTGGGTAGGTACCCAGTAATAGGATTAATAGGATTGCTGGGTCAAATGGTAGTTTTATTTCTAGTTCTTTGAAAAATATCCATATTCTTTTCCATAGAGATTGAACTAATTTACATTCCCACCAACAGTGTATAAATGTCCCCTCTTCTCTACATCCACACCAACATCTGTTGTTTCTTGACTGTTCAATAATGGCCATTCTGACTGGAGTAAGATGATATTTCATTATGGTTTTAATTTGCATTTCTCTGGTGATTAGTGACGTTGAGCATTTTTTCATGTGTTGTTTTAAGCCCAAGATTTCTTTTTTAATCGTTTTAATTTAATTTTTTTTATTTCAATAGGCTTTTGGGGAACAGGGTGTTTGGTTACATGGATAAGTTCTATAGTGGTGATTTCTGAGATTTTGGTGCACCCCTCACCCGAGCAGGGTACACTTTTACCCCTCACCCCCCTCCCACCCTTCTCCCCGAGTCCCCAAATTCCATCATATCATTCTTATGCTTTTGCATTCTCATAGCTTAGCTCCCACTTCTAAGTGGTGTCTGCCACCACTCCCAGCTAATTTTTGTATTTTTAGTAGGGACGGGATTTCACCATGTTGACCAGGCTGGTCTTGAACTTATGACTTCAGGTGATTCACCCACCTCGGCCTCCCAAAGTGCTGGGATTACAGCCGTAAGCCACCACGCCCAGCCCAAAAAGATTTTTATAGGATTAAAAGGACCATCAAGTTTATGATGTTTCTACATAAAGTTATATTCTGATATCTTTGCTGAATAGCATTCAAATATTGCCAGATGGGTTGGTATCGCTGGCATTCTTAAAGTGCTGCCATGCCTCTGTTATGCACTTTGTATGATAATGATCTGTTAGCATCTAACTTTGAGCTCCTTAAGGGAAGGGCTATGTCTTATTTCATTTTCCCATTAGTGGTCCATAGCACGGTATTTTTTGCCCACTAAATAAAAAATGGATTTTCAGGAAGATTATTTTCCTCATTTGTCACTTTAATCAATATTCTATTTATGTTGAAATACAGTACTGGTTGTTTTATTGCTGTTGTTATTCTGCCCTTAATAAAAATGGGAAACAATGTTATAAAGAATCAAAAACAGAATAATTAAATTCCTTTCCCTAGCTACTTACCTTTCTGCCCCCAATCTCTGATTTTTCAAGCTTTCCTTATGGATAATTTCTTCTTAAAAAATCATTACTGTGTATCTACCTCGGAACTTGTCCAGATCCTCAATTTTATTTAGTTTGGAGTTTTAAATTTTTGTTTTTTAAGATACCTGTACAAATTATTCCAATAACTTTTGAATATTTATCTTCATCTTTCATGTTGAAAACTTTCATTCAATGTAGTGAACAAGAATTTATTGATCACTGAGGGCACTGTTCTATTAGAGGTCAAATAAAATTTACGTAAGTCTTTCTCACTCAGCTGTGTGAAAATCCCCATGTTTTCCCTCATATGTTGGAACTCAAAAACTACTAACTTACTTGCAGAAATGGAAAGGGTAAAAGGAGGGTGTGGCTGACTGTAAAGATGGCCACAAGAATCCTGCCCATCCCTACGCATGCATGCTTCTCCTTCTACCAAGAGGTGCAGTGCGTTTCCCCTCCCTTGAAATTGGACTAACCTGTGATATTTTGATCAATGAAGTGACACTGTACTAGTTCTAAGCCAAGGGTGTAAAAAGCCTGGCAGCCTTCTACTTTCTTTCTCTTGGATCCCTGAACCGCAATGTGAGGAAGCCAGGCTACCCTGTTGGAGAGAGAGGCCGCATGGAGGAACGCTGAGATGCCCCAGCCAACAGGCAATGCCATGGTCCCAGATATATGAGTCAGGTCATCTGGCATCCTCTAGCCTTAATTCAGCCCAGCTGCCACCATGTGGATCAGAGAGAAAACATTCCACTGAGACTTCCCCCAACTGAAGATCTACAGAATGGTTAAGTCCATATGTTTGGGGATAGTTTGTTACACAGCTTTGGAAAACTGATACAAAGGAGGTGTGGTGGTTAAATCATATGTGTCAATGTGACTGGGTTAAAGGATGCTCAGATGGCAGGCAAAACATTGTTTCTGGGTGAGTCTGTGAGGGTATTTCCAGAAGAGATCAGTATTTCCAGAAGAGATCAGTAGACCCAGTAAAAAACCTCCTCTCTCACCAATTGGGCTGGCATCATCCACTCCATTAAGGGCCCAAATAGAAGAAAAAGGCAGAGGAAGGGTGAAATCTCTCTCCTTCCTGAGCCAGGACATCCATTTTCTCCTGCCCTCAGACATTGGCACTCCTGGTTCGGAGGCCTTTGGACTCAGACACACTGGCCTCCCTGGGTCTCCAGCTTGAGGGCAGATCATGGGACTTCTTGGCCTTCATAGTCACATGAACCAATTCCCATAATAAATCTCCTCTAGTATATCTCTATGTATTCCATTGATTCTGTTACTCTGGAGAACCCTTATTAATCTAGAGGGAAAAGGGAAACCCTTTCCCTGTGCTTAGCATCTATATTCCTTGTCTGCATATGCTACAATGCTAGTTTCTATTCTCCCTATCTATCAAAATTCTACCCGTCTTTAGAAACTACACAAAGATCCAAGCATAGAAGATTGGTTTTTTCCAGATTATTTCCTCCCCCAGGACTGAGGCACAGTATCTTCAAGATGGGCCTGGAACTTATTGTTCCAGAAGTGGCCCATGCGCTAGGAAGTAAGAAAGCATGCACACACACACACAAATTACAGGGATATTCAAGGGGATCTCACGGGTCACATCTGTTACACTATTGCCACCAAAATTAAAAAGTATAGTAATGAATTATAAATAATACAGGAATTAATGAGTTTAGACCAAAAATAAATATATATGAAGCAAAAGGAGGAAGAAGGAAAAAAGAGAGAAGGATATATTGATAGATGATAGACAGGTAGGTAGACAGACATATAGATAGATAGATAGATAGATAGATAGATAGATAGATAGACAGACAGATAGATAGATAGATAGATAAGATAGATAGATAGATAGATAGATATAGAGGAGAAGAAGGGAGGGCTCTTGCTTATCCCAAAATGCCAAAGCCAAATGGAAAATATGATGGGAGTGTTGGAGTTGGAAAATCCTAATTTTGTAACCATCATGTTAAATGTTGGCTCCAGCAATTAACAGCTGCTAAGTGTAAGGGAAATATTGATGAGAAGCAGGATATTCGTAAGTTCTTAATGTGCCAGCCTCTAATAAAACTCATTATTAGTTACAAGGGAGAAAAATAAATCATAATTATAGACTGGAAAGATCAGACAACACCTTAACCAGATGATCAAAATGAGCATTGCTTACGAAGGACAGGTGGATATCACGTGCTACCAGATGTGATACCCTGAAAAGAACACAACCCTGCCTGTACCGTCTTCTGGTCAAGAACACATAACCCCAGTGTAACCACAAAGGAACAGCAGATAAGCACAAATAAATACTGTTATCAAGGTAAAAAGAAAAAAATAGTGGGAACTAAAACCATAGTCTCCAAAAGCATTAATGCCATAAAGGGCAAAGAAAGGTTGTGGTTTCAAGGAGGCTAAAGAGTCTCAATAACAAATGCAATATTTGACCTGGATCCTGTACTGGGAAAAATGCCTTAAAAAATGCTACTAGATCAAAGGAAAAAATTGGAAAATGGATTGTAGATTGATAGATTAGAGAAATGCATTATGTATCAACATAATTTATGAAGTTGATAACTGTACTGTGGTTACTTAAGAAAAAAATCCTAATCTTAAAAAATATACACTGAAGTATTTAGTGGTAACGGGCTATAATGTATGTAACTTACCCTTAAATAATTTTTTTAAAGTGTGTGTAAAATAAATAAATAAATAAAGAGCAAGCACCAGTGATAAAGCGAATGAGGTAAAATGTCAACAACAGGTGAATCCAAATCTGGATAAAGGGTATACAAACGTTCCTTATACTATTTCTATTTTCGTAATGATTTTAAGGCTGAAATTATTTTCAAACAAAAGTTAAGAAGTTCTACCATTCTAAGATATAGACCATGAAACTGTTTAATTCTCAGACCTAAATCATCTCTCCTCTCTAAATCCCATGGCACTTTACTGTTTTGTTTGTTTTCGTTTAATTATCACACACAGCTTTGT